ATAATAGGCAAAAATCACAATTTATTTTTCTTTATTTTCTTTTCATTTTTCTTTATCATCCTTTGTTACTACAACACCATTTTAGGTGTCACTTTCCATTTTACACTATCCTAACATCATTTTTCCATTTATTCCACTCTAGGCACAATTTCAATTTCCACACAATCCAACCATTTTTCCTTTGATTCTCAAAGCATCCACTCTTCACACAACCCTTCTAATTACCATTTAACAACACAACATAACAACCACACAATTTCACAACATTCAATCCCAATTTTCCTCCCTATGGCCGAAATCCACATGGGCACCAACCAATGGTTATCCGATTCAATTCAACATTCCCAAACATCATACAATATCATAATCTATCCATACAGACACTCAACAACTCAATTACACAATCCTATCAACAATCCCAAACACAGTCTTGAATTTCCATCATAAACTTCGCCTAAGTTACCAAACATTTCATCAATAATTTTTATTGCATTTATCACTCTAAAACATCATTCTAAGACATATTTACCTAACACACATTTTCAATTTGAGCTCTCTAACTACACAAATCAAGCATGCAAGCCCTAGGTTTCATGAAATCAAATTCACAAATCAACCAATGAAATGTGTTGAAACTTACCCACAATTAAGTCACAAGACTCCTCCAATTGATCCCCAAGCAATGGCTTGAGCAAACAACTCCAAAAAACCCAACTTTCTCTTCAAATTCGTGTCTGACTTTGCCCTTTTTCTAACAAATGAGAGGGTTTCAAGGAAAACTAATCGATGGGATGGGTTCGGGTGATGATTTCTGTAACATCCCGCGCGCTGACGAGGGCGTGGAGTGATCGTCGGTGCAAAGAGGCACGGACAAAGAGCGACTCCTGACAGGCTTCCAGCGGGGGGTTACATGCATGAATGAATCGAATCGACACCCGGAAGAGAGGAAGGTTGTGCAGCTATAAGGCTGCACATTTTGGGATAGCTTATAAGAATTAATGGGTACTACCTATGCTAACAAGATGCATATGCTTTTCGGTAGCCCGGATCGGAAGAACTCCACAGTTAAGCGTGCTTGACTTGGAGCAATTCTGGGATGGGTGACCTCCTGGGAAGTTTTCTCGGGAAGTGTGCGAGTGAGGAAAAAGCACACTGAAAAGTCTCGTGTTAGTATTGTGGGGATAGTCATTGATTCTTGAAGCGGTCAGGCGTTACAAGTGGTATCAGAGCAGGCCTCTCATCCAGTACGGTGTAGTTCGAGGACGAACTAGGCGGAAGCTGGCGGGCATGTAACATCCCTAGCGCTGACGAGGGCGGGGATCGATCGCCGGTGCAAAGAGGCACGAACAAGGAGCGGCGTTACATGCATGAATGAATCGAATCGACACCCGAAAGAGAGGAAGGCTGTGCAAGTATAAGGCTGCACAGTTTGGGATAGCTTATAAGAATTAATAGGTAATACCTATGCTAACAAGATGCATCTGCTTTTCGGTAGCCCAGATCGGAAGAACTCCACATTTAAGCGTGCTTAACTTGGAGCAATTCTGGGATGAGTGACCTCCTGGGAAGTTTTCCCGGGAAGTATGCGAGTGAGGAAGAAGCACACTGAAAAGTCTCGTGTTAGTATGTGGAGATAGTCATTGATTCTTGAAGCGGTCGGGTGTTACACCATACTCACCAAATAAGGCAACAAAGCCCACAAAAGAGTCTCAACTCAAATATCAATCTAAAGACAGAAAACATAAACAACATCCAATATCCAGTCATGTCAGCATATAGCATATAAAATCAGCTAAGCTCCGGCCTCCTGCCGCCAGAGGTCTCAACCCCCGCATTACCTGAACCTGAAATATGTGCCCCAAACGTGGGGTGAGATCTCTAAAAAGAAATCTCAGTAAGACAAGGGGTCCTCAAGGATATTCCACCCTAAGCTCACTTACACGAGCAATATAAGTTCAAAAGCATTTAACAGTATAAGTTCCAAAACTATGCAGTGCAGCAGATATTCATGCCATGTGTGTTTTAACTATTCTACTAGCCAGAGAAATGCAGGACGTACGTCTACAACCCCACAATAAGTACAAGGAACATCGCTTGCACTTCACCCACAGCCTCACCCTCTTGTATGTACCACATACTCAGGCTTACCGTATAGGTGGAACACCACATGCATATCATAAAGGCACTCGCATATAACAGCTCAACAGCATTTCACAAATCAATATATCATGAAAACAACATCATGCATATAACCATACCCCCATGGGACATGGTGGAACCAACAATGGCTAAACCGAGGACACGAAAGCTTACCTTGCAAGCTAACAATCCAAGCCAAGAGTCCAACCAATCTTAAAGCCCAAACACAGCAGAATCACAATCTGTTTTGGATCAACAATCATATCAAAATCATACTCAACAAGTATAAGACACAAGGACAACGTCTTTCCTTTACATTTCATGTCTTAAGGCTTCTCACAAAGCCACAAGCCCTTAATCACTTAGATTCTGACTTAACTAATCAATACAGAAGCTCAACTTAACCAGTCTAGGGTCCACAAACCCACAATACCATTATGTATGAACAGTGCCTTCACTGTTCTCAAAAACTCAGAATATCCGGATATTCCTCGGGGACATATCCGGATATCAATATCCGGATATTTCCACATCCCATATCCGGATATCCATATCCGGATATCCAGAAATCCATATCTGGATATCCAGAAATCCATATCCGGATATTTCCATCCAAATATCTGGATATTTCGCGACAGAATGCAGTTTTGCATTTTCGCGAAGATATCCCTTCAAGGTTCCATTTTTAACACTTTAAAACGTTAAAACATGCATCTTTAAGCTCATTAAGGTTCATACTTAGGTTGGTTACTTGTTTAACCCCTTAAACATGTCAAGACACCTATTTTATCAATTAAAACTCATGATCAGTGGTTGGTAGCACTTACCCAAACTTTAAAACAGAGAAAGGAGTGCTCTTGGAGCTCACCAACACCCCTAAGGTTCTGACTTTGAAGGTGCACGAAAATGGCACACAAAGATGAGTTCTTTCTTTACAAAGGTCACTCCTTGGCACCACAAAACCAAACACAAGGTTCACACCCTCTCCAAACTCAAAGTCAGCACCTCACTCTAACACAAACTGACCCTCTAACCCAGAAACAAGGTCACCAACACCCTCCCAATGCTCACTCTCACTCACCACAAGTGTTTAGGTGGAGATTTCATGAAGAATGATGATACAATACGCGAAATTGTATCTCACCAGAGAGAGAGAATTAACAGGAAACAGAAAACAATTCTTTATTCATGATACCCATTGTCTTTACACTCCATTGTATTATATAGTGGTCAATACCCACTTGAATGAGACACTATAAATCAGTTATGCTAACTAACCGTATATAAGCCTAATATCTATTAATTGGACCTTTCAGTGACTTTACAATACATAGTCTTTAGTCCATATAGGCTCTTTTCTCTTCCTCATAGGCCTGCTATCTTCACATGTAACAACTGCCCCATCTTCAAAAACAACCTTGTCCTCAAGGTGTAAGGAAGGGTAGACATTTTGAAGCTCTCCCACAGATTCCCATGATGCATCTTCAGGGACTGTTTGAGACCATTGGACCAAAACTTGCTGTTGTGGTCTTCCACGGATAGATACAGTACGTGAACTCAACACTGCAACTGGGACTTGGACAGGTTTGTTATCCACACTCTCAAGAGGCAAAGGTGAAGTACTAAGGTTGGCTGAACCATGAAAAGGTTTGAGGCTGGAAATGTGGAAGGTAGGATGGATTTGACTACCTTCTGGTAATTGTAACTGATAAGCAACAGAGCTAATAACCTTCTGAATTGGAAAAGGGCCAAAATACCTCTTGGAAAGTTTGTGGTTTGCTCTCCTTGCCACTGATAGTTGTCTATAAGGTTGAAGACGAACTAGGACTAGATCACCCACTGGAAATGTGTGATCACGACGGTGTCTATCCGCTTGTAGCTTCATTCTATGTTGAGCCCGTTGCAGATTCACTTTGAGATTGGCTAAGACCTCATCCCGCTTCTGCAGTAGGCTATCCAATGCCTCAATTTTGATCAAGCCTCTTGGATACATAGGTAACATCACTGGTGTTCTCCCATACAATGCTTGAAATGGAGATGTATTGATTGAAGAATGAAAAGAGGTATTATAATGCAACTCTGCCCAGCAAAGATAGGAAGACCAAGCATGATTCTGTTCTGAGCAAAAAGCGCGAAGATACTGTTCAATATATCGGTTTGTTACCTCAGTTTGACCATCGGACTGAGGGTGATATGCGGAGGTGGCATGGAGTTTTGTACCACTCAACTGAAATAAATTCTTCCAAAAATTGCTCAAAAATATTGGATCACGATCAGAAACTAAGGATATAGGAAAACCATGAAGTTTCACAATCATGTTACAAAAGAGGTGAGCCACTGTTGAAGCTGTGTACGAAGTAGGTAATGGACCAAAATGTCCATATTTTGTGAGTCTATCAACTACCACTAAGATGGTAGTAAATCCCTGAGACTTTGGTAAAGCCGTAATAAAATCCAAAGTTAAATCATCAAAGACATCTTCAGGAATAGGTAATGGATTTAACAAACCCATAGGAGCCTGGGTAGAAGTCTTCACCTGTTGACAAATGGTGCATTGAGTGATGAAGTCTTTGACCTCCTTGCGCATATGTTTCCAAAAGAAAGAAACCGAGAGTCTAAGGAAAGTCCTCAGGACACCTGCATGGCCTCCCAATGGTGTGCAGTGTGCTTCAGTGATCAGCATAGCTTTAAGCTGGGAGTGTGTGCCCAACATGAATCTGTCCTTGTGAAACAATAAGCCATCCTTACATGTGATGGAAGGGTCCTTGTTTGTACCATCTTTCAAGGACTGATGGATAACTAAGAGGTCTTGGTCTGAAGAGTTTTCGGACTTTATATGATGAATAATATCAAACTTTGGTTCAGACATCAAGGTTAAAACAGTAATTTGCACCATGTTGTCTAGATAAAGAGTCTGCCATCACATTTGAAAGTCCACTTTTGTACTCAATGCTAAAACTATATCCAAGAAGCTTAGACATGTACTTTTGTTGTTCAGGAGTCTGAATTGTTTGAGTAAGCAATTGCCTCAAGCTTTGATGGTCGGTCCTTATCACAAAATGAGACCCTAGGAGATAGTGCCTCCACCTCTTGACAGCTTCAGTGAGTGCATATAGCTCACGGACATAGGTCGAAGCTGCTGCCAATCTCACCCCCAATTTCTTACTAAAGAATGACACAGGTTGACCCTTTTGTAATAAGACAGCTCCTACACCAAAACTTGATGCATCAGATTCAATGACAAAAGAAGAGCTAAAATCTGGAAGATGTAAGACAGGTGTTGTGGCCATGGAAATCTTCAACTTGTGGAAAGATGCATCAGCCCCTTTAGTCCATGAAAACCTGTCTTGTTTCAACAACTCGGTTAGTGGATGGGCTATGGAAGCATAATGTTGTACAAACCTCCTATAATATCCTGTTAACCCAAGAAAAGCCCTTAGTTGCTTGGTAGATTGAGGGATAGGCCAATCGGTTATGGCAGATAACTTCCTTGGATCAGCCTTTACACCAGAAACAGTCACTACATGACCCAGATATGCTATCTCCTTTGCTTGAGCCTCCTCGATAGGTTGCAGTGCTATAGTATTACATGCACCTTGCATCCCTGCTGTTGCTGATCTTGTTCCCTGTTGCTGGCAGCCACTCAATTGAACTGGTATTCCTTGCCAAACAAACTCCATGGATAGATTGTTATAATCATGTGTGACCTTGCCTAGTTGAGTTAACCAATGCATTCCCAGAATAACATTTAATTCACTCAACTCAATAACCCACAGATCTGTGATAAAGCCATGGCCTTGAATGTTGAGTGAGACATTGGAACACTTTCTATCACACAGTAAAAATTCTCCACTGCCCATAAAGACCCTCATCTTGGAAGATTTTGTCATGGGCAATCGAATTTCCTCAGCAAGCCTCCTTCTAATAAAATTGTGAGAACTTCCAGAATCCACTAACACACTCACCTCCTGCTTCCCTATACTGGCCTGCAATTGTATGGATCGTGGATTATTACTCCCGGACAAAGAATTCAAAGTTGCATCAATTCTGTTGCCCTTGGGTTCCTCCATACCCCACACTATCTCTTCTTCTTGCTCTTCACCCATATCCTCCACTTCTCCTATAAGGAGCATCATTTTGGCTTTGCATCTATGTTTCGCCGTCCATTTTTCATCACATGTGAAGCAAATACCCAATTCACGCTTCTTGCGGATTTCCTCAGTAGATAACTTTCGAACAGGTACTGTGGATGGGGCGGGTAAGGCTAGTGTTTGGGATGATTGAATAGTTAAAGGATAGGGTTTATCTGGTTTAATGGGTGAGGCAGGACGATGAAATGATTTCTTGGTAGAATTTGTGAAAGAGGAACGAAGCTCAGAATGATGTGTATCATAAGCTAATGTTAATTGCATAGCTTGATGCAAACTGGTGGGCCAATGTAATTGAATTGCTCCCTGGAGATCAGGTTGCAAACCTGAAATGAATAGAATCATTAAAAAGTTATCACTGAGGTCATGTACCTGGTTCATCAATCTCTGAAATTCACGCATGTAATCCGCCAAAGAACCAATTTGGGTCAATTTAGCAAGAACACCTCTGACATCTCTGTAATGTGACGACCCAAAACGTCGCCGCACAGCCTTAGTGTACTCCTCCCATGTTTGTACCGTACCGCTATTAAAAATCCATTGGAACCAATCCCCTGCAGCACCATCCATCTTTAAGCCTGCGATCTGGACCTGGAGATGATCCGGAGTTTGTTGAAGACGAAAGAACAATTCGGATTTGAAAATCCAATTGTTAGGGTCTTGACCCTCAAACGACGGAATCTCCATTTTCACGAAGCGTAGAGATCCACGATCATCAGAACCCATTGATGACGATGAGTGATGTGGATTTGTTGTTTGTGTTGGAGGAAAACGAGACATAAATTCTCTGAGTTGTGCCTCCATTGATGCATATCGCACTTCAATCGACTCATTCACCTGATCCAACCGCTGATGAACTTGATCACGGTGAGTGGTGAATTCTTCGGCTAAGTCTTGAACCCTCATGATGGATGGGTCAAAATGAAAGCACCAGTTGATACAATACGCGAAATTGTATCTGACCAGAGAGAGAGAATTAACAGGAAACAGAAAACAATTCTTTATTCATGATACCCATTGTCTTTACACTCCATTGTATTATATAGTGGTCAATACCCACTTGAATGAGACACTATACATCAGTTATGCTAACTAACCGTATATAAGCCTAATATCTATTAATTGGACCTTTCAGTGACTTTACAATACATAGTCTTTAGTCCATATAGGCTCTTTTCTCTTCCTCATAGGCCTGCTATCTTCACATGTAACAAATGAGGCCTCAAAGCTCACACAAAGGAGAAGAGAAATAATGGAGTAGAGCACAACTGACCAGCCACCCAAAGACTCAAGTAGGATAATATTATGGCCTAGGGTTTAGTGCCAAATGTAGTATATATAGTCACTTAAGAATTAAACACACAGTATTATCATTAATTGCTACGCTTAGCATTTTAATCCCAAACTTAGGATTCTGAACCTTCTCAATTTTGCAAGATTTATCATATTTTTATTTTATTTTTCGCAACACCTTTCCGGTACGCGCTTTTCCATAGCCAGTATCAGTTCTGGCACCAGTTCTCATTATTTTAACTTGAAACTTGTTTTACAAGTCCTATATATTATTCTAGTAACACTTACACATTTTTCATAATTTTCCGGGATACTTCATCGGTACGCATTTATACCGAGTAGCAGAATCGGTATCTGCACTTTTCGTCCGAAAAGCGACTTTCAGCATTCTTACTCACTTACTATAATTATCTAAGCCTCATAATAATTATTAGGGTCAATTATGGAATTATTTCCTAATTTCTCGTAATTAACTAATTAAGTTCCTTAATTAACGGTGCAGGTTCTTACAATTTCCAACAAATTTGCTCAGAAACTTTTCTTGATTCGGAGTAGTATTGAATGAGTTAAGAGGGATTGAAAATTTGAATCAAAACTTCCCTAAACATCGATGGAGGCCGTGGAATAGGAGAGAGAAGAGGGAGGAAGGTGAGTGAATAGTGTCTAGGCCATGTTGTCATATTGTCACTTAAGTGGGGTGGGTCCTACCGCCACCTCACGCGTCCAAATTAATTCAAATCTTTCGTCTATTCCGCTAAACGTCCATAATTTCATAACCTATTTAGAAACTATAAATTTTAACATTAACCATTGTCCTTTAATTACCCTTGATCAGATAAATCTGGAGTTTTCCGGTCGTTCAGAGAAATTGCAGTTTTAAGCTGTTATGCGCGCCGTGGACACGCTTCCCCAAACTTACTAATTTCCATCCATTTTCACCAAAAATCATATTTCCTAGTCCTATATACCATTTATAACTTATTTCCAAAACTAGAGCTCAAAATTCAATTGGCACGCTTTACGGTGCAACTGTACTGCAATATTTTTACTCGGTAAAAATACTATTAACCGAATTTTCAGAAACTTGCCTAACCACTCAATTTTTCGTTCTGAATCCATTTCTAGGGTTATTTTTATCATTTGAGATCTCTTACTCAATTTTACCTTCCTAGGGTTACGTGTTTGGCTAATTACCGTTTTACCCTTCCTTCGTATTTTGACCTAAATTTCAGAATTTTTACTAATCCTATCCTTTAACCCACATTTAATATACAATTACATGTTTTAGAACTTCGAGGTGTTATAACGATGAAACAATCACGGAGAAGAAAACTCCTAAATCGAGAACTTACCTGTTTAGCTTTCCCTACTATTAACTTGTAGTCCAAGCTACTTGTACCCTTTACATTCACTTACTTTTTTCGTTTATACTCTGGTATTATTTATAAAAATACTATCAATTACTTGTAACTCAAGCAATCAACATATCATATGTTCATCCAATTACCAACTTTGTAACTTTCTTAATCACCTTGATAATTCTCTTTTCATTTAACAACTTCATTTCTTTTAACATAGTTAATGTCGTACCACATAAGTCTTAACATAAATTCAGGCCTTATCATTGGGCCGTCAATACTAGTTAGTTAATATCACTAACTCAAGTGAATACTTAATACTTTATTAGGGTTTATCTTACCCCAAAACCACTTGAAACCTACTTGATTACAATTATCAATTGCTATTCAATATTTAATTGAATTTAACTTACATTCCATGACACCTTAATGATCATGGCCAAATTGCATCACCATCAATTCATGCATTTTATGCATCATTTATTTACTCCCAATTAATCCAATTGATACACCATTTAACCTAATTCACAATCACTTTACACTTAGGTTTTGTTATGAACCTGACAAAGGCCTACATTCTAGAAGGCCTAAATAGGGCTAACAACTAAGAGGGAATTAAGGAAATATTCCTTAATTATACTAATCCTACTACGGCAGCAATGGATCAACAATTGGACCCCCAACACTCCTAAGAGGCCCAAAAGTCCACTTATGTCAGGTAACCCATCTATAAATAAGGGGTTAAACCAATAAGGTACACACACTCTAAACCCTCTCTCTTAGCTTGTCACTGTGCACACACCCCACGCCTTGACTATGTCGTTATATAGTGCACAGTGATCCGCTTATCTTTAGGGTACCTCTCCTATAGGTACTTGAGAGAGGGCAACAGATCCAATATTAAATTACCAATCTCTGATTGGACATTCACGATCTATCAGATCGTAACATTGGCGCCGTCTGTGGGAAAGATAAAATTCGATTCCTACCCAATTGTGGTAAGGGCGTAAAAGCCGCCGACTAACCAAATCCTAATACGATGGACGCAAAAGACAAAAATGAAGCTCATCAACAACTCAAGGAGGACCAAAGTTCGTAATCCAAGATATGAAAGCCAATCTCAACGAGTATGGTGAAACCGAGATCCAGACGAGATCGTGGCTGAGATCGAGGTTAAAAAGAAGGGGGCAAATCAAGCAAAGAGCAAAAGCTAAGTCTCCTTCCTTTTAAATTCTAAATTTACATGAAAAAGGAAAAAATGTTCCATCTCTTTAATAATATTTGTTGAAAAGGATCTACCTTTTTAATATTTTATCAATATTTAAGAAAAATCGTGGCACGTAAATTTTGAAGGTCCATGAGATATCTTCTTGAAATAATACGTCAAGCTTGGCGGTTGACTAAATGATATACTAAATTGTTACCACCAAGACTATATATGTCAATTATAGCCGTGGGACCCATGTCTTGTTCTCAAAGGCCTTACCACGTTATAGTTGTGACGTTATGTGCATACATTTAACCAATATGCCAATTAGATATGCATTTTTTATAAAACCAGGAAGTCTGGCTATTTATTATTTTCAACACCATCCAAGATGCAATTAGATAACCATTATGCCAATTATTATCATATGTGCCAGATAATAATTCTGAATTCCATGGCTGAATATTTTATTCACTTGAGGCAATATGAAATATGATTAATTATCATTATTTGCTTATTGTCGTTGATTAATTAATATTGATAGCTGTTGATTGCCTTCTTCATATTGTATTATTGTGCATTTATTTTTATGCAAAAATAATCAAATATATGCTGGGCCCCAACAAAAGTAGAAGAAGGTACAGACTTCTTTGGCCAAAACTCATGCAAATAAAGGCACTTGTTGAAAAAGTTAGTCTTTAATATAATTTGGTGGAGCCCGCCCCTAATGCAATGCTTTCTGATGGGACGTAAATTCGTTCCCATCTAAGCCTATTTTGATGGAAAAATACCACACGTTCTCTCATCTGATGAACAACTTCAACATGAAAATCACTTGTTTTGCACATTTGTGATAAAAACACATTGGGAGAACGTATGGTAACATATTCCTTTAAAATATATTAAAAGGGAAACAGACTGAGACGCATTTAATACACCTGTTCCACTCATTTAATGCCTCTGTACACTTTGCAGGAAACGTGGATTTAAAGTCTTCTAAAAGCAGAGGCGGTGCACCAACTGAGCAGCAGGAAACGTGAATAGCAGAGAATCAAGAGTTCTCATTGGCCAAAGAAGAAAGCAAAGCATGGGTGGACTGCAAAAAACAGCTAATCATCAACAAATCCTGTCCCATCCAGCAATTTGCGCAGCTTCTACACTCTATTGCCACCGCCACGTCCCTTCACGCAAGAACCCAGCTCCAAAGGAATTACAAAACTGCCACTCATCTTCCATCTACAAATAGGACGCCCCACACACAAAAACATCATCGAATTCTGGAGGGATTGAAGTCCTAAAGGAAGAAGATCACCTAGTAGTAGTAGTAGCTTAGATTTATTTAAGTTGTAGCTGTAACTAAGTGACAACCCCTCTTCTCTTCTCTGTATCAACCGTTAAGACTCCTCACGAGCATCAAACCATCCTTCTCCATTTTTTGTTTTTGTGTAAATTGTCTTTTAATTTAATATAAGTGTTTCTTCTCTTCATTCTATTCGTTATGTCTAAGCTAAATCTCGGGTCTATGGGATTTCAGATTGGAATAATTATGTTTCAAATATGTGACACCCTCCTTTGTATGCATCCAAGGGAAGAGTCTGCTAAAACTGATTAGAGATGTAACGTTGACGTGTAAAATTCTTATTCAGTAAAAACAATTTGATGTTACCAATTAAAATCTTGCTTGGAAAACTGACTTCACAAAATAAAAGCAGCAAGTAAATTTTTGGAAAGGCTTTCGCTGCGCAACTCTAATTTTTCTAGAAAATAGCCTGTCTTGCAAAAATCATGTAAATTCAAAATAAACAGCTTAAAAAAATATTCTTTGATATATAGAAACTAGACATCTGGGGCTTCGCGTACATATAAATTATAAGTGAATCAGAGGTGAATAGCCCCACGAAGAAGAACTCGCAAGGTACTTGAAAATTCATTGTATTTTCCAGAAACCTCTTGACTTGTAAAAATCATACTAAATCGAAATTTCATAATTTCATTATAAGGTTTATATAATCTGAAACTAGACACGTGGGGCTTCGCGCGCATATAAA